AGAGGCGCTTGGATGTCCAGTTTTCGGGATTTGCTGTCTTTCTCCACGATCTCCAACCGCAGGGTCGGCGTCTTCTTCCTCTCCTCTCCAGGGGAAGAGCTGTCGTCCTTGGTTTTTAGCAGCTGCTTGTCCGAGTCCTCCACCGTGATCCGCAAGGTGCAGCCCCTCGGCAGCAGGTCCTGCTCGTAGGCAGCTGCCAGCTGGAGAGCAGCCTCCCGGGCAGCTCTCCTTCTCCCCCTCGGGCCAGCGCAGGATCCCAGGATCTCCTGCTCGTCCTACTTATTCCCTGTCTCTTTCTGGAGCGTACTGGCTGTGACGGTTCCTCCCACAGACCATGAAAATCTCCCCCTGGGAGCCGTGGGGACCCCCTTCTGTGGGACAGAACCCAAAAACCCTCCCACAGCCCAGGAACCTCTCCCCCTGGGAGCCGTGGGGACCCTCTTCTGTGGGACAGACCCCAGCAATAACCCTCCTGACTCCCCGTGCCGTGGGTTTTGCCCGCTGCTCCGGCATGGAGCGCCTGCTCCGTCCTGGGCTCTACCTCGTGTTTGATAGACCGGGCGCCGTAGTGCAAGTTGTAGCCGTCGGCCAGCACGTCCATGACCTCCCTGTCCCAGAGCAGGGTGATGTTGTGCCTCGCCTTGGCCTGCCGGGTGAGGAAGAGGAGGAAGAGTTACGGATGCCTTCGAGGAACCCTGGCACCTCATTCCTTGAGCAGCGGGGACACCGCGGGCAGCACGGCGGGGTGCGAGCGTCCGGGGGCCGAGGAAGAAAGGGCTCTGAGCGCTCCCTCGGGCCAGACCCACCAAAGCAGGTGGTCCCCTAATTCCCATTTAGCCCCCCGGAGAGCTCAGATTTGCAAAGACCAATTAGACAAATAACGTCTCTGAACGTGGCCCGAAGCTCAGCCCTGCCCCAACGCAGGAGGAACCGTCCCCCACCGTCCCAAGAGGTCCCCACCCTCCCGAGTAGAGTCCCCTCACGTCGAACAGCGTGTAAGACTATGGTAAAGATGTACAGCCACGCTGCTTCCACATCAGGAGGAGGAAGGCTTAGGCACGGATTTCCTCCTGCTCATGCATCTCGTGAGAAGTTACCTCTAAAGCCATGGATGGTTTTTACCTTCTTGGCCCAAAAATTCAGCTCCTTGTTGACAAGCTGGATGAGCTCCGAGTGGCAAAAAGGGAGAAAATAGACAATCTCGTTGATCCTGCCCAGGAACTCGTCTCGTCTGAAATGAGCCTGCAGGGACAAGGGGTGAAGGTCAGCGGGGACAGAGTTGGTGACCCCGATAGGGACAGCAGTGACAGTGACGCTGCAGGAGGAGCTCCCCAGGGATCACCTCCACCTCCCACAGCTCGCGCATCCGCGTAGCGAGGCCCCGGCAGCCGTCCCACCCCATGCCATGGAGCTGGAAACCCGTGCTGCCAGATCTCAGGTCATCAGGAGTACCTCCCAGCATGGCTTAGGGGAGGAATTAATTCTTCTGGAGATGGCAAGAGGAACTAGAAACGAATCTCTCCTGCGGTGTAAGCCCAGCCCCAGCCTCTTCTGCCGTTTGCCCCTGCCCCAGCCACTTGCAGTAACACCCCTCGCTGCTCTCCGGCGCTCCCGGTTCCGAGGCTCCGACCTGAGCCTCCTGCCGGGAGGTCAAATTCTTGGTCTCTGTAGGAGCTGCCAGGTGAGCAGCACCCTGAACTGCTTCAGAAACATTTTAATGTCGTCGGGATGTGTCGCTGCGGTCAGGATTTCCTAGCCCCTCTGCCGCAGCGCAGCACCGAGCACACGGTGGCCCCGGGAGAGCAGAGAACCCCCAAAATCCCCCTGCAGCACTGCCCACCCCATGTCCCCCTTCTTGTCTCACGTCGTTGCTCTAATGTAAGGGCACAGCGAGTGAAAAAGATGCTGTTATTTATTTCTGCTGGGTTCTGACCTTACTTCTTAGTGGCTGAAAATTAAAAAATGACATCATGTCACTTATCTCACAGCTGGGAGACAGCTGGGTGAGGAACATGGACATTGCATCGAATGACTCAGTGCTCAGGACACCTGAAACATAAGCCATGAAAATAACATCTGTACCTTCAAGATGGGGCGAATAACCTTTTCCTTGAACTGCTTGGAGATGGTTATCTTGTCGGTCGTCTGGACATCCTCTGAAAGACAGGAGGGCATGGGGGGGTCGGTGGGTAAGGTGGGACGTGGGCTGCACAGCTGCTGGAGGGTGGAGGAGCAAAGCAGCGTGACAAGGAGCCGGAGCCTGGGCAGGGGGCGAGGTGGGGTCCAGAGGGGACTTCAGAACAGATCTGGAACCTCCACAGGTGCCACCAACCACTCTTGGTTTGGTACAGTTGACCCCCCGGACAGCGGGTCTGGGTCTCCCGTGGCTGCCCCTGCACACATCGGGTGCCCGAGGGGAGCACCCTACGCTGGCACGGCAAAAGAGCTCCGGCTCTGCCTCCGCTCTCCACCCTACACCCCCAGGAGCTGCCTCCCGGCGGTTTCGGATAGCCGCAGGCCTCGCTCGCCGCCC